GTTGTATATACAGTTTTTTTAAGATTCTTGACTTTATTATGTTTTTATGTTAGATTGCTACATGTCATAAATATGGTAGCTTGCTCAAAAATATAGAGTAAAGCACTAGTATCTTTCTTTTTTCATTTCAAACAAGCACACACAATGGAGGAGCAGTATTCATGATAACTTATGAAAGTGGGATGAGATTTAGTTTATTAGGGAAGTCTTGGCAGATGAAAATAAAGCAAATTGGACTTTGGGGGCACAAGCAAGAAGGAGCTTGTCACAGCTTTTGTCATCTGTGAAAGATGACAGGTGAGAGTGTGAGTCTGGTGACAAGCATGCTGTATGACTAGACTAGATTTATGCTTTTTGGTGGGGAAAAAAGTCCCTTATGTCAGTTAGACAGTAAACAGATAAACAAACATGCAATCTATGTACAGGATCCATAAATCTTTATAAGATCAGTTAGGCTAGAAAGAGTCAAAATGATGGACTGCGCTAATAATCACATGCTAAGCTTGTGTTCTGTAAATGAAAAAGAGAGAGCACAGTGCTGATAGACAATACAAACACGCACTCACATGCACTCACATACATGCCCGCTTTCCCAAGCTTGCAATTTGGGAAATGGGTCAGATGTGACTTAGATTTATGTATCTTTGTGTTTTTTCTTTGTGCGCTCGTGTGCTTGTGGTAAGCTAAAAAGTGAGGGAGTGACTGCGCAGGCTTTATTGTGGATGTGGCAGAATGCAGATGTTTCTCAGAACTGCCTAGCTATGATTTAATGATGAAAAGCAGAAGGCAGCAGACTTAGACTCTGGAGAGGCAGCGGGAGCAGACTACGTCAATATTAGAGTCAGAATCAAAGACGGGGAAGATTGTGATTTATTTGTCACTTTTTATTTGAGTGTTACTTACAGAAACACGTTTGGGAACTCTTTTTATCTCTGTGTCTTTCATCTTTTTTAAGCAGTTCGAAAAGCTTGTTTTTGACTGTGTTTATGTCATCAAAATAAAGCAATGCCTGACTGCGACTGTGATGCATTTTATGGATGAGCCCAAAGGAAATCCGAACGTTACCTTGACAGGAGGCAGTGTCTATCAGCTGCTAATATGTCACTTGATTTGATGTTTTGCGAAATGCTACAGCTTGTCAGGATTGTGGATGAACACTGTGGGGAATAGAGTATGATGCACGAATGTACTTTTTTCAAAACACAATAAAATATCAAACAAGGACATGCATTTTTTTCTATTTGAGGGTTAGAAAAACTCAGGTGTGTCATTTTGTCATGTCAGGAAGAGTTAAAGTCAGCAATAGCAGCACAAAGGTGTGAGATAGAGGGGATAAAATAGAAAAAAAAAGGGGGGGGGAAAATCAATCAACACTCGCTGTGGAACACAGAAGGGCAAACACTTCAGTGGGTTTTTGTTGATATTAAAAAAATAAAGTTTTTCCCAAGGTGACCAGCAGATGGCAGAGCACCTTTGGGCTCTAAGGCCTGAACAAGAGCGAGAGAGCAGGGCAGGCAGAGAAAGAGATCTTTTCGTGAGTTTTGCTTTCCTGGTTGACTGATCTCCCTCAGTGGTCTGATTGTGAGAACGGACTCGTGGGAAGTGTTCTCTCACCGCAGGTGTCAGACTGCTGTTAGATAAGATTATTTGCGGTAGTGAGGAGGTTGCATTATTTGTGTGTGCATGTGTGTACGCACGCTTGTTTGTCTGCGTGCGCATGCACCACTTCTCGGTGTGTGCTTCTTCTCATTAAATGTCTGCCTGATAGAAATGTAGTGCTACATTGTGTTCGGTTGGAACACAGTACAACACAGAAGTTGTTTTCGACTTGCACACTGAGCTCCATATGGTCAAACTCAGGAGGAGAAAGACGGGGAAGCGAAGAGAAAGCCTGCGCTCCGTGTCATAAGCCCTATCCCTGTTTGTTTCTGTTTTACAAAACCAAAAGTTATAATGCTTTTGTGTTCTGTGGGATTCAGGCTTTAGTGTGGAGTCATTCTGATAGTGATTTTAACAAAAAAGGCAAAGCGTGCCTTGAGAAATCATTGAATCTGCTACGGTACTTTTACAATACGCTGTGTGTGTGACTCCCGACTGTGCCAAAAAGGAAAAATAATAAAAACAGAATAAACTAAGTGCTTAGCTTGCATTTAGTCTTTAAGAGGCAACAGCAATTGAGATCAATGAAACTGCTGTCGAGCTTTCCAATAACTAATAGTGTTAATAACGATTTTAATACTCACGTGGGTTGGCCCACTTCAAAGAAAACACAAAGGCAGACAGATTGGTTTTAGAATGCAAAACTTCACATTTATGCTTTTTAAGAAACACGTATAAAGTTGGAGCTGGTGTCAAATGAGACATTTATGGTCCCCTGGCAGTTTTTATTTTCCCTTTACTTAATATTGTGCTTTCTGTGAAGACCCTTAGGCAAATCCTATTCCTGTTTATTTGCTGGCTTGCTGGAATTGAAACCTTCCAGCAGCAAAGTGCTGCTAGTTGCTTTGTGTTTGTTAAAGTGACTGTGTTTGGTCAGGCAAATTATAAAAACAAGCGGATAACAAGGGTTAGCAGGCGTGATAAGCCATAATATCTTGTAAACTGGCAGCGGGGATAGTTTAAGCTGGTCTTATGCTAATATTACTACAAGTGACAGTCAGCAACAGAGAAATACAAACATCTTCAAACATGCTTAAACTTACAAATAAACATGTGCAAAAACACAAGCAGAAACATCCACAGAATCACTGTGTGTATTTTAAAGCCTTACAGCTACTGTGGTAGTGCAGTTACATCCTCAAATGTTACACATTTATACATTCCTTTGCTTGTAACGATATTTTTTTAATTGAGTTTTTTAAAGAAGTCTAATTCATTTTACGGTGTATGTAGAATTATTTCTTTACACTGAACTTCTCCACTTTGTCCAAACAGAGCCTAGAATCTAGAATCTTTTCAAGGTCCCACCAGTGTCTGACAGCACACACTACCATTATCCCAATTAATTATAAACCATTTCTTCTCTGCTAGAAGTCAGAATCAAAGGAAATAACATCTCTAGAGTACTGTTCTATTAAATAATTTCTTGCACTTGTCATATATACAAGTAGACGACTTTGTAATATTACATTTGTCATGTCATATAAAATGTAGATTGCTGTTCGCTATTCTGGGCTTTGGATAATAGCAGACATTGTTTCCAGTATGGATTTGACTTTTTATTCACCCAATCAATTAATAATTAAACTACATTCATGTCTAGTTTAATGCCACATAAATCACTTTATAAAACTGTAATGCATTTACACAATCTGCATGTGACTGTGTTGTGAAATATACAGTGTTTCCATAAGTCTGACAAGAACTGGTAGAAAAAAAAACTGCCAGTGTTCGTTTTCCTGGCTGGACACTCTCAGGGCTGCCAACAAATAGATGGCTACCTTGCCTAAGGCCAACTTCTTTGGCATTAGCAGCAATAAAAACATATGCAGACACTGTTAATTAAGTGCAGACACACTACACCTGCCACCTTCCATTGCTTTTCTCTTTCGCTGGCTTCATTTTCTTTATAAAGTGTTTTTCAGGCTTCATAGACATAGCGTGTCTCCCCAAATGTGAAACTGATAGCACTATATTACCATATCAGTATACATTAGCTTTCACAGAAACAAACAATGCAATGAATTCCTTTAGAAAGGTCTTCTCCCTGTTATCTTCATTCAAAAGGCCAGATCTGATCAGCGGCCGTTTTTAAATTACTCACAATGACATTTACCCAGTTTTACCTGCAGTTTTACAAGGCATTTACAGCCAGTCATACTTGCAATTGTCATTGGAGAATATGAGTTAATTGTTTAAACCATCCCTCCATCCATCATTATTCAATTTACACACTGTATTTAAATATGAAGCCAGTTTTTGTGCTAGTGTCCTGGGTCTAACTGCAAACCCCCC